TTCCACCTGCCGAGTATGGCAGACCAGTGTTCCCTCCCTAGCAGAGAAGGAAGATATGACCAAGATGGACTGGAAGGCTCAGGGGCTGAAGGAGCTTGCTACATAAGCCTGACAATCTGAGTTCCATCCTCAGAGCACCATGTAAAAAGCCTGATGTGGTAATCTGTAATCCCAGCATTTTAGAGTGAGATGGGAGAGGAAAGCGGGAGAATCAGCCAGAGGCTCAAGGAGGGCTAGCCTGGGGTAGGCAGCATGGCAGAAACAAGAGAGACCCTGTCTCAATACGGTGGAAGCCGAGAACCAACCCCTGAAAGCTGTTTCCTGACTTCCACACGAGTGTCCAAGTACGTGCACACATACTAGATACATAAATAAAGTTTAAAAAATGACCAAGGAAGACCAAGCATCACCCAGGTTTCACCCTGAGCAGGAGGTATTGTCATCAACCCAGACAGGACGCTATAGAGTCCAGATGGACATGTAGCCCTGGACAGGCACCTTGCCAGGGATCCAGTAGTCAGGCTGCAGAGTACCCTGCGGAGCTCTTCATGTGGACAAGGACAGCAGAGTGTTTGGAACACAAGCTTCCATGGACTGAATGCCTCCACAAGCTCATGCTAAAATCCCAACTTCCAGGGCTATGGGGATGACTAGGTGGGTAAAATGCCTGCTGTGCAAGCACAAAGACCCAATTCAAATCTCCAGTAGCCATGTAAAGCTGGGTGTGGCAGTGCACACCTGTACCCCAGCACAGTGCAGGAAGAGGCAGGAGGATCCCTGGGGCTCACTGGCTCCCAGTCTAGTGGAAACTGTGAGCTCTGGGTTCAGTGTGACCCTGCAGGAAGATGCCTAAAGTCAACTTCCAGCCTCCACATGCACAGGTGAGTGTGCCTGCACACCACACACATACATACCATATACAGAGACACAGATACACACACGGGCATATACACATACACACACAGAGACACAGAAACATCCAGAGACTTACAGTCACACACAAACACACACACACAGAGACACACAGACACAAGATACACACACAGATGCATATACACACATAGACACACACAGAGACATATACAAACACAAAAATACACATGTACACAGACAGACACATGCACAGAGACACACACAGACATACACACACACATGCATGTACACATAAGACATGAGAATACATGCATGCACACACACATAAGAATCAATCACACACAGGACCCCCAAGTGTGCTCTTTCTCCACCATATGAAAGGTGTCTAGAAGTGAGTCAGCTAGACACTAGGAAGGGTCCCAGGCCACAAGGAGTTGATGCCAAACCCTGACCTTGGCTCCTGGCCTTGATGACAGTGAACCCAGTTCCCCCAGTGCTGCAGGAATGTCTGTTCCAGGACCCCAAAGACACTAAGAACCAGATTCGGGAGACCTTCTATGCAGTAGCATGGTACTTGCATGGAACCTGGCACACCTGCAGACTATATGTCCTCTCCTATTGACAGAGAACCCAACAGAGTGCACTTGGCATACATAGTTATTAGACCACACTGCTTAGAGTAAAACAAGGTTTGCACATACTCAATACAGGTGCAACTTTTTTTTTTTGTCTTTTTGAGACAGGGTCTCCCTGTAACCCCAGCTGGCCTAGAACTCACTATGTAGACCAGGCTGGCTTTGAACTCACAGAGATCCACCTGCCTCTGCCTCCTGAGTACTGGGACTAAAAGCCTGCACTACCACGTCCGGCGACATTATTTTTAGTATTTCCTGGTTTGGGTTTTGTTTTTTTGTTTGTTTGTTTATTTGTTTTTTAATATATATATAAACATATATATTTTGGTCTTTTTGAGGAGGCAGTATTTTTTAATATATTTTATTATTTTTATTTTTTATGTGTGAGTGTATTGCCTGCATGTATGTGAGTGCACCCGTGTCATGCAATGCCACGGAGGTCAGAAGAGGGCTTCAGATTCCCCTGGAACTGGAGTTAAGGACGGTTCATAGCCGCCATGTGGGTGCTGGGAATTGATCCCAGGTCCTCTGCAAGAGCAGTCAGTGCTCTTAACCGTGGAGCCACTCTCCAACCCCTGTTTATGAGCCAGGGTCTCATGTAGCCAAGGCTGGCCTCAAGTTCACTATGTGTCTGAACATAACACTGAACTCTCAGTCCTTGTACACCCATCTCCTGGGATGGCAGGTGTGCTCCACCGTACCCAGTTTATATGGTGCTGGGGATGGAACCCAGGGCTTTGTGCATGCTAGGGAAGTGCTCCACCAACTGAGCCACAAGCACCCGACCAACTGAGCCCCAAGCACTCTACATACTGAACTACAAGCAGTCTACCAAATGAGCCTCAGTACTTTCTGAATATTTTGAACCAGCAGTTGGTTGAATCTGTGGATGTGGAACCCTTACCTAAAGAGAGCTGACTGGCTATTTCTCTTATCAATGAGACCCAGCCTGTGGCACTCTGTCATAGCAACACAAATGGACTATGACAGAAACCAAAAAGATCTGGCCATGGTCATGGTTTGAGTCTGAAATGTCCCCCACAGACTCATGTGTCTGAATGCCTGGTCCCCAGCAGATGGTGTTGTTTGGGGAGGTTGCTGCCTGGCTGGTAGAAGTTGCTAGGGGCAGGCCTTGAAACGCTGTACTTGCTTCTGATGGCTACCTGGGGTCTCTGCTTTCCATCTGCCCTTGTGGGGAACCCCCAGCCATGTGCTTCCACTACCATGAACCCCTCTTTTCCTTCTTTCCATGACGAACCAAAAGTTCTGAAACCGTGAGCCAAAATAAACGTCGTCTCCTTTACGTTGTAGCTGGGTATTTTTCAGAGTGACAACTGAGTCACACACGCTTAATGTGGTTCCTGGGTGGGACAGGAAGGACTGCTGTGAGGGACCAGGTGGAGACAGTGGGCACACTCTTATTATTGGACTGGATACATAACCCAAATGCTAGTTATTTACAGTCAGTAAACGCCAGGCACATGCATGGGGACCTGAGTCTAGCACTCACATAAACCAGCACTTTGGAGGTAGAGATGGAGGCAGTGGATCTCTGTAAGATCGAAGCCAGCCTGGCAAGTCCAGACCATCTGGGCTACAGGGAGACTCTGACTCAAAAAGACAAAAAAAGGGGGGGAGTGGTGGTGTGCACCTGTGACCCCAGCACTGAGGAGGTAGAGCACTATGGCACAGCCTGGCCTGCTTGGTGAACTCAAGGTAACGGGAGACCGTGATTCAGAAAAAACAGTGGGTAGTACCTGAGGACATGCCCACAGTCCTACTTCTACACACATTTATTATGAACTGAGCAGAAAATATTATTGTGCCTGTGCTGACTTACTAAACTTTACAACTGTCCTGTGGTGATCTGGGGTTCAGACTTTCCTGCTTTGTGAAATATCTAAGAGGAAAAGAAATAACTCTGACAGTGATGGCTGAGATGGCTCAGGAAGACATGCACCATGTGCTCACGGCCGAGAGGAGCCCCAGACTTGGACAGGTCTGTGGACTCATGGATCGACAGAGAGATGAACACATGAATAGAGATGACAGTAAGGAGGACATAGAAGAGACAGAAGGTTCACAGTATAGGTGAGAAATGACAGATGACGGAGAGATGAAACACAGAGAGAACTCAGTGGGAAACTGACGGTTCTATGGAAAAGCAGATCTCCACTCAGACCACTTCTGGCCTCAGGGGACACATTAGGGTATTCTAGGTGATCCAGTGGGGGATACCAGTAGGCCCTGGTGAGCAAATGCCAGGATGCTACTCAGCCCCCATGCAGAAAATGGTGGGCTGAGGTTGAGGTCTTTGCACTATTGGTTTTTTGAGACAGCGTCTCCTTGTAGCCCCAGATGGCCTGGACTTGATATAGTATGTAGACCCGACTGGCACCGATCTCACAGAGATTCACCAGCTTCTGCCTTTCAAGTGCTGGGATTAAAGGTGTATACCACCACACTCAGCTTCTTTGCACTATCCTTGAAATCACTTATAAATTTCAATTTCTTTCTTTCTTTCTTTTTCTTTCTTTCTCTTTCTTTCTTTCTTTTTTGACAGGGTCTCCCTAGTAACAGCCCTCCTGGAAGTCAAAATGTGAACCAGGGTGGCCTGGACCGCACAGAGATCTAGCTGCACCTGCCTCCAGAGGGCTGTGATTAAAGGCGCATGCCACCATGCCCAGCATAAATTCTGAATTATTTCTAAGAGCTGGACATGGCAGGCACACTTTTAATCCCAGCACTCGGACGGCAGAAGGAGAAAGCTCTTGAATTGATGTCAGCCTGAGTTACACAGCAAGAACCCCATTTCAAAGTAAGTCAGAAAAGGGCAGCTTAGTGGTGGAGCCCTTGCCTAACATGCACAGGCCCTGGGTTCCATCCAAGTGCCCCAGAAAGGAAAGCAAGAGGGGCTGGGGAGATGGCTCAGCACAGAAAGCAGAAGCAGGAGGACCCACATTCCAATCCTCAGCATCTCTGTACAAAGTTGGTGACTGTGAAGACAGGTGGCCTCCGGCCTAGCTCCAGGTTCAGTGAGGCCCAGTTTCAAGGGGCTAAGGCAGAAACGGGACGTAGATAGAGCAGGACAACAATGCCTTTTTCTGGTCTCTGTATCCATTGTTCACGCATGGATGTGCACATACACCACACACATGTGCCTGCCTATACCACACTCACCCCCCAAAAGGGGGAGGGAGGCTGAGAAATGGTTCAGCAGTTAAGAACGGTGACTGCTCTTGTAGAGGACTTGGGTTTGGTTCCCAGCACCCACATACTCTCTGTGACTCCAGTTCCAGGGGATTCAACATTTTCTTCTGGCCTCCACAGGCATTGCACACATGGGTGCACTTACATGCATGCAGGCAAAACATTCATACAGATAAAATAAAATAAAAATAACTCAATCAAAATAATTCTTTTAAAGGAAAGAGAAAGGGGAGGAGGACTGATTGGGGAGAAAGGAGACGGAGGAGTGAGGCAGAGACTTACCGGGAAGAAGCAATGTATCCCAGCACATGGGCTACCAGCAGCTGCCCATGGGTGTCCTCCAGGCGGATGCAGAGCTGATGTGTGGCTTCCTCAGCTGAGGTAGCCAAGGGCACAGGTGTGATGAAGGAGGCCCACTTCTGGGCCTCCTCGAAGGCCAGCCTGAGCCGCCCTGGGTGCCCACACTCCGGGAGGCTGGCCCAAAGGACATCCCTCTGACCTGAGCTCAATGTCCTCCTGCCCGAGCCCAGCAGCAGTTGGATGAGCTCCTGCCCTTGGCTGGGAGAGAGGGCCTTCACCTCCCAGAAGGCACTGGGGTCCCTGAGGGTCTGTCGCAAGGTGTTTAACACCTGCTTCCCTGAGCACATGGACAGGATAAGGTGCACCCTAGGGGGACACTTGAGGGGCAGCCAGGGGACCCTCCGAGAATGACTGATGGGATGCAGATCATCCACTGAGTCCAGCAGCAGCACCAGAGACTCGAAGTTCCTACAGGACACGGTATGGAGAAGGGTGTGGAAGAAGGGGACCACTCTAGCATGGGCCTCGAGGACCTGGGCTGGGGGCAGTGGCAGTCCATAGGCCATGCACACCTGGAAGGAGAGGCTCCTGAGGAGGCTCCGGGCATCCAGGCTCATCGTCGATGTCCCCAACACCCTCAGGACAGTCACAGTCTTGTGACCAAGCAGCCCTGGTACCTGCTGGGCCAGCTTGCACATAAGGGAGGTCTTCCCAATGCCTGGTGAGCCAAAGACAACCAAGGGAGTGTGGGCACAGCAGTCATCCTGCCTAAGACGCTGCCCAAGCTGGGCCAGGAGCTCCTGGTGGCCACAGAAAGTCCTGGTGGCCTCTGTGCTCTGCCACAAGTGGTGACGTATGTCCTGGTAGAGCCATCCCAGCTCCTGCCTGGTTGACTCCAGCTCCCGGAGCTGCCCCAGGATCTGATGATTGGTCCTGGCCACAAACTGCTCCCCCAACTCCTTCAGGTAGCGTGCATGAGCCTTATTCTTGGGATTGATCAAGTCACGGCTCCATGGCAGGCGGTATGACTTGAGGGCTCCAGGCTGAACATCCATGATACGTCCCTTGAGGCTGCTGAGAAGGCTCTGGGCGTCGGTGTCCAGGCAGCCATCTGCTAGCTGGTCCACCATCTTCAGGGAACAGTCGCCCAAAATGTGTTTGTTGAGGTCCTGGATCTCTCGGACGAAGACAGTGGCTCCCCGGTCCCCAAGCGCTGAGCTCAGTAGGCCATGCTCTATCTCCCATTCAATGACTGCGGGACAGAGGGAAAAGACTGGTCATTGGGGGTCACTGTACCTGCAAGGGATGCTGGGGGGAGACATATCCCAGGGGGACGCTGGCTCTCAAGTTTGACATATGAGAAAGCAACCTGGGGAGGCCCCCTGACGTCTTACTTGGGCTTCCACATGCATACATCTGAATGCTCCCATGCATATAACACACAGAAGCCAAACACAAAAGGCCACTGTATTAGTCACTGTTCTGTTGCTGTGATAGAAACACTGACCCAAGCAATTTATAGAAGGAAGGGTTTATTTGCACTTATGGTTCCAGGGGAATTACAGTCCGTCATGGCAGGGAGGCATGGGGGCTGGAGGTGGCTGGAGCAGGAGCAGCAGAAGCTAAGCTCTCACATCATCACGCAGGCACAGAAGCAGAGAACGACTGGAGATCTGGCCAGGCTTAAGAACTCTCTAAGCCCACCCCCAGTGACGTGCTTCCTCCAGGATAGCCACACCTTCTAAAACCTCCCCAAACAGCACCACCAACTGGGGACCAAATGTCCAAATACTTGGAGCCTATGGGGGACATTTTCATTCAAACCATCACAGCCACATAGTGAGTAGCTGGGCAGGCTGCATACTTGTAGTCTCAGCACTCGAGAGGTTAAGGCACGTGAATTGCAAGTGTGAGGCCAGCCTTGGCTACAAAGCAATTTCTTATATATTTTTAAAAATATTTTTTTAGAAGCATTTCATTACAGCTTTAACATACTCAATAACAGTTTCTAGAGCAAAGATACATCTCTTTCAAAAGTGGTTATAAAATTGTTAGGTTTGCTGTTGAATTAATGCAGTTATACAATATTGAACTCAGTATAAGCCCTGTAAGATATAAAATTGAATGAGATTTTAACCTTTAAAAAAGATCTCCATTTCATTTTAGAATATATTGTTCCTTGCAGAAAGATTCATTGTTTTTACTACTAACACTGAGATGTTGGCACATGCATCTCTAATCTGTATGCATCTGACAATACTAGTTTTTTAAAAGCTTTTGAAGCATGGCATGGTGGAGCATACCTTTAATCCTAGCACTTGGTAGGCAGAGGCAGGGTTTTTTTTGTTTTTTGTTTTGGGGATTTTTTTTTTTTTTGTCTTTTTGAGACAGGGTCTCCCTGTAGCCCCAGCTGTCCTGGAACTCACTATGTAGACCAGGCTGGCCTTGAACTCACAGAGATCCACCTGCCTCTGCCTCCTGAGTGCGGGATTAAAGGCATGTGCCACCACGCCCGGCATTCAATGGTAATGTTTATCACTTCTACTAATTAACATGACATAAATTTTTTTTACACTTATTTATTTTGTGTGTGTGATGGGGTATATTTGTGGGCGTATGGGCATCATGGTACACATGTGGAACCATCTCACTGGACCAGTATAAAGTTCTTAGCCAGCCAGGGGTGGTGGTGGCACACTCCTTTAATCCCAGCACTTGGGAGGCCGAGGCAGGCAGATCTCTGTGAGTTCAAGGCCAGCCTGGTCTACACAGTGAGTTCCTGGTCAGTTGGGGCTACAGGGAACTCTGTCTCAGAAAGACCAAAAAAAACAAAATGTTCTGAGCCGGCCTGAGCTACATAGAGGGACCCTGCCTCAAAAGAAAAAGAAAACAAAAGTAAAATAAAAGAAATCACAGAATGTCTGACCCCCATTGAGAGGAAAATGTTCAACACAGGCCAATTCAGAGACAGCAGATCAGGGGCTTGAGGGAGGGGAGTGGGAGCTATTGCTCCACCGAGACAGGGCCTCCTACTGCAGTAACAGAATGATGTTCTGGAACATAACAAAGGGGCCAGTGCACAGTATGGTGAATGTTAAATGCCCCTAATTGATCACTTCACAAATGTGGCTCCCAGCTATGTGAATTTCACCTCACTGTGTGGAATGTCTCCCTCAGACACTCAATTTACAAGCAGGGAGTTTGTGCCAGCCTCCGCTCACCACATGGGGAGAGACACTAGTGAATGAACAACCAACCACTCCTTCCCAGAGGGGGCCTGCAAAGGCAGGGAGGCAGGATGGGGAGTTTTTACTGATTACAGTTTTAAAGTCTTATTTTCCAGCTGGGTAGAAAACAACACCTCATTTTCTAAGAAGAAGACATCAACAGGCCAGACAGGTCTATGTCACAGGCATTTGGGCATGGCAGCAAGAGTGCAGACAACACCAAACCAATGCACCTGAGCATGTGCCAATAAAACTTTATTTATAAACACAAGCAATGGGCCAGATGTGGCCCTTGGACTCTGGCCTGCTGACCCCTGTCCCAGAGTGTGTGGTAGCTGCCTTAAGACTCTTTAAAAAATTGTTTTTTTTGCTGGGTGTGGTGGCTCACACCCTTAATCCCAGCACACAGGAGGCAGGTGGATCTCTGTGATGGAGGCTACCCAGGGCTACAGGGAGACCCTGTCTAAAAATATATTTATTGGGTTCTGCTTTCCTGGGTCTGCAGGACCCGCAAGCCTCTCCCACCCACAGGCTCCTCTTTCCCCGGTAAGTGCCCTCTGTGCCGTGACTCCCCCAGCCTCACTCACCCTCCCATCTCCCCCGCCGTTCTCTCCTCCTAACCTGGGTCCTGTCCCATTCCTTGTCTTGGCGTCCCAGACACCTGGGGAACCACCACTGCTTCCTGATCCTTTGCATCCACAGCAACTCAGTTCCTCCTCAGGTCCCCAGGAACACTCTGGGCCTGGCCCCACCCTCACCTCCCTCTGCCTCCCTGGGTCTGCACAACTGGCCAGCCTCTTTCCTGGATGCCAGGGGCTGACCTTTCCTCTTCCTGATCCTTTGCATTCAGACCAACCCAGCTCCTTAGTGCAGTCCCCAGGAGCCCTTGGGGCCTCTTCCCACCCCAATCTCCCTTTGCATCTCTGGGTGGCACAGCCACCAGCTGCCCAAAACCAGCATCTTTCCTGGGCCTGGTTCCCAAGCCAGTCCAACCCCCAAATTCCTGAGGCCAAAATCTTTCCTGGAGGGATCCAGACCTTAGGAGAAAGGCTGAGAGCATCTGATCCTCATCTGACTTGGGCCTC